CTGAAGTTGAACGTGAGTGCGGCTGGGACACACTCCTCAATACTGACAACCACCAATATGCAGTGGGTCTGCTGGCCAGGTGAGACCTCCCTTCTCCCTGCTCTCCCCATCATTTCTCCCCAGCAGATGAGGTGGCCCCAACATAATCCCTGTGGTTATGGGTGAGAGGGACTTGTCACTGAAGTATAGCCCTATAGACTGGAAAAGCCTGGGAGAGCTGGTTCTCTGGAGCAGCCACAACCCAAAGTGCCAGCATGCCCTCCCATGAGTCCTGGGCTGATGGCACAGAACAGGAGGTCTGTCTGCAGGGAACCTCACTGAGGACAGCCTGCCAGGGCCAGAGAGATTTAGGGACAACCACTGATGGCCATCCACAGCATGGCTGCTCATATGCCCTGTGGGTAGGAAGGTGTTTTTCCAGACTGGTCATCCTCAGTGGACCCTGCCAGTGTTGGGTACTGCCTTTCTCCTTTTGAGAGGTGGTGGGGAAGGATCAGGCTTTGGTAATTCAGTCCCAGGAGAGGTTTGCCCACCCTGCTCAGGATCAGTGATGTCTTTCTCTCCTCCAGAGTGATGCTCAGGGTCTCACAGAGCTTGTGTTACCGGATCGCACGCTACCTGTTCAGGCTGCTCCGCAGAGAGGAGGCTCGTTGGGAAGTCTCTGCCATGGCATTCCTTGTTGAGGTGAGCCTGATGGCGAGTGCTGCCTCACTGGGCTGCCTCCCTCCACTCTGCCCTCTTGGAGACACAGCTGTAAGGGGAGTCCAGTTTGTGGAGCTGGGGCAGAGGCTGTGGTCTGCTCTGTGTCCTTGGCCCCTTGCTGCTGGGATCAAGCCTACTTCTCACTTCAGCTTCACATTTCCAAGAGGCTTTTCCCTATTGACATGCAGTGCCTGGACAGGATGGAAGGACAGGAATCAAATAACATTCTGCCTGTATTTCAGCATCATATTATGCCATGAACACCACATATGACCTCTCTCACTGCTCTGTTGTTTCAGCTCCTGCCTTGCCTTAACATAAAGGAATGGGGTGAACGCATCCTGCAACTTTTCCCAATCTATCTCTTGAGGGATCACAGAGTGATGCGTCTCCTGCTGCTCAGATGCCTCCTGGTGCTCTGTAAGAGACCCTCTATGGTAAGCAGCAGGCAGCTGCCTGAAGCTGTCCTGGCAATGTGGGGCTGCGTTACACAGTAGGTTGGACTTGTCTGAGCTTCAGGAGCTGTGTCAGCTGCTGCCAGCGTTCCTGACTCCCCATTCAGCTACCAGAGTCCTTCAGAACAGGCCTCTGGCTTCTTGGCTCTAGGGCAGTAGCATGGGGTTGAACTGCTGCAGTGGTTTTGGCAGTGCAGCCTTTGATGGCTTCAGAACATTGCATTGTGCTCCTCACAGGCCAACTCAATCCTGGCCTTGACTGGAAGCCTCACAGAGGTACTGAAGGATAAAGATGCAGAGGTGGTGGGCATGACCCTTTCTGTGCTCTGCGAGGTGCTCCAGGACAGAGATGTGCCAATTGCCAGTTCCATTGCTCTGCAGCTGGCTGAGGCACTCCTGCCACTATTTGAGAACGTAAGGCTCTGTGCCCCCTGCCGTGGGCACTGGGTGCTGCCAGGAAACTTTATACCCTGAGGATTTTCAGGCCCATGCCCAGGTGGGCCTGGAGAAGCTGGTGCTGAGGTCTTGCCCTCTTCATTTCCACTAGGACACCAGCCATGTGCAGCTCCTCTCCATTCGACTCTTTCAAGTGCTAATGGAGTTGGTAGAGGAAGAGGGAAAAGAGTCCCTGGAGAAGAATGTGCGCCAGAGCCTGTTCCTACTGTTCTGCCACTTGCATGATGAGAACCAGTGTGTTGCACAGGTGAGGACTTCTGAAATGTTGGTGTCCGTGCTGGAGGTGACTTGACTGCCTTCTGTGTTTCTGCCTCTTCCTGCCCTTAGCTACAAAGCAGCAGTTCTGGGGGACCTCTGTTCTGCTGTCCTGGCAGTACCACCATGCCTGAGATGGGGGTTGACCCATCACTTTGCCCAGGCAGCAGACCCACTGATGAACAAGTTTCCAGATGCTGCATCGTCCCACTATGGGCTAGGAAAGGCCATGAGCCTTGTCAATGTATAAGAGTTGCAGGTCCTGTGCCCTCATCAGTGGTTCCACCTCCTGGTATCTGCTGCTCTACAGGCCTTTTGGGAAACTTTGCTTCAAGCTAACACGTTCCTGCAGGAGAGGAAGCTCAAGCAACTGTTGGAAAAGACATGGAGACTTGACAAGTGCCTGGTGAGGATGGACTCAAAGCCCCAGACTCATCCTGGGGACTCATAATCCCTTTTAAGACTAGCACAGTGTTGTGGAAAAGGAAACATTTCTTGTGGGAAGCAGGGGAAATGTCACGCTCTATCAGCAATCCAGTTCCCTGCTATGTCTCCTCCAGGTGCCAAAAATTGTGAGTGACATGTACCAATGGCTCACATTCATCATGGATGTGTCTGCTGAGAACAGACTGGACAAGAGCCTTCAGGAGATGAGCATTGCACAGTCTCATGATGTGGTGGTGACTATTCTACGCTGCGCCCCATCGTGTGACAGGTACGAGGCCTATCTGCTTTGAGTCCTCAGGAATCACAAGCCATTAGGGCTAATATAACCTGTGACCCCTTTGTTTCCCAGTTGTGTCATGTCACTTGTGCCCTGCAGGGCACTATTACTTGGCTGCCTGCTGCCTGCAGAGGCAGGCTTACTGGGTGCTGCTGCTCAGGGGCAGAGGACAGGGGCAGGGCTGGTGGCCAGCCAGAGCCCCTGTGGCTGCCCACGCCATGGTGTTGTGGCCAAGACCCCACTGACACAGAATTCTGGGCCTGCAGAGCCGCTGTGACCATGTGGAAGGCAATTGTCTCCTCAAGCAGAGCTGCGGAGAAGGTGCTGCCAGAGCTGCTGTGTGTGCTGGAGGACTGGCCACTGCACAGCACATGCACCTCTGACAGGGACTACTCAGACATTTTTTCCCTGGCTGTGAGTTGCTGGACTAGACTGTATCGCATCCTCAATAGCTAGCTCTCTGGCAGCCATGTCAGATGCTCCCCCTGCATCTCCCCTGGACCAGGGCAATGCCTGACCCTCACCCTCCCACCCTCAGGCCCTGCCGTGGGGATGTCTCAGTGCTGAGAGCGATCTCTGGATGTTTTGTTCTTTTGCAGGCAACCAGAGCACTGTGGGAGATCATCCATCTGCCCCACCATCCAGAGGCACTGTTGATGTATTTCCCCTGCCTCTTTGTGGCTCTGCTATTCCAAGTCTTCTCCAGCACAGCGCAGATGACAGCAGAGGTCAACACCTTCTGGAGGAGATGCCAGCAGGAGCACTGCCTTCCCACCAACCCCAGCAGGTGCTCCATCACAGCCCTCCCATCCCTCCCATGCCTTTGGAGCTGGGCTCAGGAATCCTGGCATGACCTGGGCT